GCCCTCTAAGTTGGTGAATAATTCTGTGTTAGGACTATCCATGCCTTTGATTTTATACACTTAAGCTGTTTTAGTCCATATTAAAGAAAAATTTCTGTTTTCTTTAGCTACTCTTTCTCTTTAGAAAAGATTACCAATAGGCCAGTGGTTCTCAAATTGTGGTCCCATTGTAATACAAATATGCTATATTACCTACCTTTAAAAATATAACCTTTGGCCTCATGTCTACTGCCAGCTATCACCCCATTTCTCTGTTCAGTGCACAGCTAACTACTAAAAAGTGGTTTTACCTCTTACCATTCCTTCTTAAACCTAATCTAATGAACTTTTCCTCTCTACAACCTCACTGAAATACTCTTTTATCCAAGCACTCCCTCTCCCTGAACCCTATTTTATTTTTTGCCCCCATAATAATTATCACCTGGTGGTGGCTGGAGTTCTTGTTCACGGAGTTGAAGAATGAACTTAGCAAACATTCAAGGTAGGAGCACCACAGAGAGTTTTTTATTTAGAGATAAAGTGAGAGGAGAGAACTCCTGGCTCATTCCAGGAGGAGACAAGAAAGTCTGTAGTTGTGCTTTGTCTAGAGGATTTATTGGAAGTAGAGGATTTTTAGGAATGTGATAAAGGGCTTAGGGGTGTGGACTTGTTAAGTGGTCTTAGAATGTTCATCCTTGATGAGGCATTAAATTTCTTTTCTCTTCAGTCCTCCAGGTAATTCTGCAAAATTAACATAAGAAATTTACTGCAGATTCTTTCCCAGAATAGCAGCTTCTTGGTCTGGGAGCATCTTAATCAAGACTGCCTGCCCTGCCCTCAAGGTGGGCTGAGTTATTGTCTGTTTGCTAAAGAGTTTGTTAAGAATCGTACTTCTTAACTTCTTGAGTTTTAAAAGGCAATCTTTAAGATGGAATCCTTCTTGCTTTCACTATGTTTTTTATGGCTGGGCTTGCTTGCCATTATTAATTGCCCAGGTTGCAAATCACCCTGAAGGAGGAACAACAGCACATAAGCCTGGGCCTTTTAGCATGCTAAGGTGAACCTTACACATGATTACAAATGATTAGCATAATAAAGCATGGGCTGTGCTGAGATACTTCCCTTTATCTGGGGAATATTAACTGATTTCACTGAAGAATGACTCTAGAGCTTAATGTTTAACGTGGAGTTTTGGTAGGGGGTTTTCTTGCATGTTGTTACACTGCTCTGACTGAAATTATCATGGCTTGCTTTTTCCAGGGGCCTTCACCCTACTCTGTCTAAACCCATGGTTCCTGTCTCACTGGTATGATTTATACACATAGACATATATATGTTTATGTATGTGTATAAATGTCTATGCCTATAAATAGATATAAATGTATGTCTGTGTATAAAATGTAACAAATATACATGTATATGAATATCTATGAATCTGTCTATATAAGTACATCTATAACATGTATGTATAACATGTAGACATACTTACAAATATTTATAGGATATATATAAACATGTAGATATGTATGCATGTTTCCATGTATACATATCTATACATGTTTTTTGGTCTTTTTTCCCCTACTAGAATTTACTAGAAGCTAAGCTCCATGAGACCAGGCTCTTAGTATCTGGAATTGTCCCTGGACTTCAATAGGCACTGAATGACTGACTCCATGGTGGCATTCCAGACAATGTGCTTGATTCTGTGATACTCATCCTGAGATTTAGCAACAACAATAAAACAAAAAGGGCCTAACTAAAATAAATAACAAACCCATAGCTACTATCATACTCAATGATGAAAAGCTGAAAGCTTTTCCTCTAATATCAGAAACAAGACAAAGATGCCCTCTCACCACTTTTATTCAACATAGAACTGTAAGTCCTAGCCAAAGCAATCAGGCAAGAAAAGGAAGGGAAGGTATTAAAATTGGTAAGGAAACAGTAAAATTGTCAGTATTTGCAGATGACACGATTCTAGATATAGAAAACCCTAAAGACTCCACCAGCAAACTACAAGAAACAATAAATGACTTCAGTAAAGTCATAGGGTACAAAAGCAATATACAAAATTCTGTTGCATTTCTATATATAAATAAACTGTCAGAAAGAAAGTAAATCAATCCCATTCACCCTTGCATCAAAAAGAAAAAAAATACCTGAGAATAAATTTAATCAATGAGGTTAAAGCCCTGTATTCTGAGGCCTATAAGACATTAATGAAGTAAATTAAAGAAGGCACAAATAAATGAAAAGATATTCCATGCTTGAAAAAATTAATAGTTAAAATATCCATACTACCCAAAGCAATCTACAGATTCAATGCAATCCCTATCAAAATATCAGTGGCATTTTTTCACAGAGCTATAGCAAATAATCCTAAAGTTTGTATGGAACTACAAAAGACCTTGAATAGCCAAAGTAATTCTTCAGAAAGAAGAACAAAGCTCGAGGTATCACACTCCCTGATTTCAAACTATACTTACATGCTACAGTAATCAAAGCAGTATGGTACTGGCACACAAAAAAAGACACATAAATCAATGGAACAGAATAAAGAGCCCAGAAATAAACCCATACTTATACGGTCAATTCATATATGACAAAGGAGGTAGAATATATAATGGGAAAAAAAACATCTCTTCAATAAATGCTGTTGGGAAAACTGGACAGCTACATGCAAAAGAATGAAACTGGGTCACTCTCTTACATCATACACAAAAACTTGAAATAGATAAAAAACCTAAATATAAGACATGAAACCATAAAAATTCTAGAGAAAACATAGGACATTGGCATTAGCAACTTTTTTTTTGATTATTTTTGTTTATTTCTTATTTTGGTATCATTAATGTACAATTACTTGAACAACATTATGGTTAGTAGACTCCCCCTATTATCAAGTCCCTTCCACATACTGGCATTAGCAACTTTTTTCTAGATCTGGCTCCCCAGGCAAGGGAAATATAAGCAAAGAGAAACAAGTGGGACTACATCAAACTAAAAAGCTTCTGCATGGCAAAGAAAACCATCAACAAAATGAAAAGGCAACTTACTGAATAAAATAAAATATTTGCAAATGATATTAGCCCCTTATCCAAAATATATAAAGAACTCATACAACTCAACACCAAAACAACCACAAAAATCCATTTGAAAGACTGGGCAAAGGACGTGAATAGACCTTTTCCCAAGAAGGTATACTGTTGGCCAACAGACACATGAAAAGATGCTAACATCACTAATCAGAGAAATGCAAATCAAAACCATGATGAGATAGATATTGCCTCACACCAGTTGAAATGGCTACTATAAAAAAGACAAGAAATAACAAATGTTGGCAGGGATGTGGAGCCAAGGAACCCTCCTATATATACTGTTGGTGGGAATGAAAATGGGTGCAACTACTTTGGAAAGCAGTGTGGGACTTTCTCAGAAAACTAAAACTAGAAACACCATGTGACCCAGTAATTCTACTTTTGGGAATTTACCCAAAGAAAACAAAATCACTATTTTGAAAAGATACATGCACTCCTATGTTTACCACAGCATTATTTACAATAACCAAGATATGGAAGCAAATTAAGTGTTCATCCATAGAGGAATGGATAAAGAAGATGTGGTGCATACATACTATGAATTATTTCTCAGCAGTATAAAAGAATGAAATCTTGCCATTTGTGACAACATGGATGGACCTAGAGAGTATTATACTAAATGAAGTAAGTCATACACAGAAAGACAAATATGACTTATATGTGGAATCTGGAAACGAAACAAACCAACAAAACAAATTAGATTGATAAGCACGGTGAACAGACTGGTGTTTGCTATAGGGGGAGGGGTGGGAAGATGGGGATAAAGAGGTATGAACTTCTAATTATAAATTAGTCATGGGTATGAAAGTATGGCATAGAGAATACAGTCATTAATATTGTAATTATCTTTTTATGTTGACATGGTAACCACTTATCGTGGTGAGCATTTAGTAGTTATGCAATTGTTGAATCACTGTGTTATACACCTGAAAACAATATAATACTGTACAGTAAGGAACTTTGGGTTAATATCTAGATTCCATCTATTAAAAAGTTGACTTCACTTTCCACAAACTGAATACCTACAGAGAAGGGGTAAAATGGTTTGTATAATTTATGTGGAGAAAAGGCTGTTAACCTCAAGTTCTGCATTTGCATTAACTCACCCTGAAATCTTTTGGATTGGTCACATAGTTCTCTTAGTGTTGTTTCATTCCTGGAGATCCTTTTATCTCTCTCTATGTCAGCTTCTATATGTTCCTGTTCTCTGGTTTCTATTCCTTCAATGGTCTCTTGCATCTTATCCATTCTGCTTATAAATCCTTCCAGGGTTTCTTTCACTTCTGTGATCTCCTTCCTGACATCTGTGATCTCCCTCCGGACTTCATCCCATTGCTCTTGCATTTTTCTCTGCATCTCATCCCATTGCTCTTGCATTTTTCTCTGCATCTCTGTCAGCATGTTCATGATTTTTATTTTGAATTCTTTTTCAGGAAGACTGGTTAGGTCTG